TAAATGGGCTAGTGCAGGCCTGCGGCTTGCAAGCCCGAAGCAAGAATTCATTGCTTTTCTATTAAGAGGATGCTTTCCTCATTGCGGACTGCTCTCTACGTATCCGTTCTAAGTGTCTTCCTATTCAAAGCCGGTCTCATGGACCGCAAATTACTACAGAGGCAACCGCACTGACATTACAGGATAAAGCGTATGGCAAGGGCGTAGAGAGACATCATCGAAGAGAACTTGCCGCTTCTCGAGTATATGGTACAGAGAAAGTATCGTGTTATTTCTGTCGCCTTGCCTCGTAATTGCCTTTTTCCCTAGGCCTAACACACGAAAGACCTTCTGTACTCTCTCACCAACAATATACACCAACCAGCTATAATTGCATTAGCACACCTTACGGGCAAGAGCAATCAGGTCGCAAAGCTCGGGACGCATTTCGTATACCGAATTTTCATCTCGCAGATTCTCTCTTTATACAGCCTCTACGCAACAAGCTTAACTAGAATGTTTAGCAGCCTGACGCTTAAACGCCATCCGAAAGCAATACTAGAATACCTCATAAGATAATAACTATTAAAAAAGTAACTCCAACTATATTCAGCATCCATAGATAGCTCACGAACGCTTCCATTAGTTTATTGAACAGTATTTTTTTTTTATATAAGTTTGACCAACAAAACGTTTAATATTCTTATAGTAAAACGTATATCCTAAATTTTTAGGGATGGCTTCACTTTTTACTACTTTAATTTCACCGAGTTTAAATTTTTTTAAATTAGAGGACTTGTCCCCTCGAAGATCGTGTAACGGTCAAGTGGCTAAGTATCTCTAAGACAATGCGGGTTTGCTACCGTGTATTAGCAAACAAATTTTTTTAAAGATCTGGGTAGGTAACTAATTGCAAGTTGATTAGATACATGCCAAAAGAAATGCCGCTTGGATAACTTAAATTCGGTGTTTTAAATGAAACCGTCATGGACGGTCAAAAAAAAAAACGAAGATTGGTGTGCGTGATAACAATTAAATTGCGCTACTTATTTCCATTGTCATAAAATATAAATAAGCTATATATTTAATGCTTGCTGTAACCAACCGAGCTCATAAAATACGATCGTTTAGGCTCATGCATACATTTTTCTTGACAAAGTTAAAGTCACAAAGTTAGAAAATAGAAGTTGTTGCTTTCCGAGCTTCCAGAACGGGTCTCGTTTGCCCGGTCATCAGATATCTTGATATAAATGAATAATTTTCCCCAAATTTACCTAATGAAATATTCTTGATTTTTTCTAATTTAGGAAGGGGCAGTTTTAAAGTTCTTTGAAATTCTTTTGTACAGTGTACAGATTAATATACATGCGTCAATTAAGATTACGATAACACAGATGAATTAAATTTAGCAGGACTGACACGAGTTATGACGAGTCTTTTTGTTGATTATTCGATGCTAAACTACACAAACAACAAATTATCATTACCTACAAACAAAATACTTTAATCTGCTGAGGGTATAAGCAAGCCACTCTTAATATTCTGCTTAGCAATAGGTGTTATAGGTCTTTTTTTAAAGATAGTCTGAGTAATTTTTTATGTACGGATGGGCATTGTCAGGACAAAGGGCATTTCGCAAGGTCTAAGTGTAAGGCTCAGCCTCGACAATTGTTTATTTCTCTCTTACGCTTCGGGATTTCTCTAGCACTTTGACTGTACCGCTTTCGCCCGTCTAAGATGCATAGTTTGAGAGCTGACAATTTTGCTTGGCTTTATCAAAGCTTTTTGAAGTTTTTCCGCATATTCTGGCAGGCTATTCTGCGTGAAAATTTCCTGTAAAGCTTTTCTTATGTCCTCCTTGCCCCGAAGTTTGACTTGGGGCCGAGGGGTACGTACTTTGTACGATAATAATCGCTGCAGTTTCTGTCATTCTTAAGTACTCGCCATTCAGAAACAAGATCCGTTATACCTTCGCTGTAGATAGACGCTCTAGCGGTCATTTGCAACCTAATCGGTTTTGCCGATGATACACGCTACGTTCGGTTCCTTAACAAAGGTAATCCTCACACCCTTTTGCCCGTAGGTTCCTCCAACACGACCACGATTGCAAGCGACTCGGATTAATATAAGCTGTCCCATTTGGCGACATGGAAGTTGCACCAGCTTCTAAAGGTCTCACGAATGGCATCTTGCGTGATATATCTTTCGTCGCCAGCCGAAAACCATCTCCTCTCCTAGCGTCCCCGCTTTCTCTGTGCTTGAACGTTCTCTTTGGCGGTTTCCCCCCAGGCAGATTATTTGCGATCGAGGACTGCCTTTCTAAAAGCCATACATATCATGAAGTAGGCTGCGTAGCCTTTGACAAAGCCCAGATGGCAGTTATTTGTGTTATGCCCTATCCGGTCGCACCTGTGGCAACGGCGGCTTTTGTCAATACGCTCCCTGACAAAGGGGTTGACCTTCTGGTGACTATGGCATGCGGGCAGAAAAACTCATCCCTTTAACCTACGGCTAGAGTTTCCAGATTGCGTTCTTTTTGAGAAGAAGGATTTCCATTATTCTTGGGGAGGATGATGAAGCTTTGGCATCGTTACCTATGAAAGGACCCTCTAATCGGAGCTTTGTGTGTTGAGAATTTAATACTACCTTCAATTCGTTTGGGCACTTAAAAACGGCCTTAGGCCATTTCCTTGAAAATAGATTTACTCAGCCATCCATGATTTGCACCTTCAGAAAAGCTTTTTCGATTTGTCTTGCTAATACTGCAATCTGGAATTCTTAAGTTGCTCTTTCTTCATTTACTTATTTAGTTTACCATTGTCTATGACGTCCATGCTAATGTCATACGATCGCTTCTGTCTCTCTTCCTCCAGTTCTCTTTGTTTTTGAAGAAGGCCTTCGTTTTGTTTAAGGCACCTCCCTGATCGCCTTCAGTGCTTAAGATTGGATCTTTAAGGTCGTTAGCCTGTAGTGCCTCAGCGCTTCTATTACTCCTCAAGGCTTTCGTCTTGATATAAGATTTTGGGTGGTCCTACTGTCATTTCCTTCTCCAAAGTAGTCGTGGCCTAGCCTGAGTAGCTGCGCTTATTTGGAGCTTTTTCGGCTCCGTACGAATCGTTCATTTGTTGCCTTTTCAGCAATCATCTACTGCGTAACCTTTACAGCCTATGGTCCTTTGCTGTGGGAACCTTAATACTTTCTCTCTGCTACCAAATGTGTCCATATATCCAAGACCTATCGACAGATTGGATCGCGAAGCAGAATGGTTTTGACTAGGAGATACTACTGGATCACTACAGTGTGAGCTTAAACCATACACTTGTACACTGTTATGATACATTAAGTACTTACCCGTCATAAGACTTATTTTCCCACAATTTGCCTCAATCTCCAGTTTGAAGGCAAAGAATTTTACTTGAAAATTAAGCCAGTATATTCTAAAAATCGAATGTGAAACTTTCAAGATATAATCATTAGGATGATTCATTCTTCAGCACACGATCGTCAACTTCCAAGATCTCTAATAGTAATAATTGTGCTAATTCCTTGTATTAACGTTGTTTACAAGAATCCTGCTAATGGCATAGGGATGCCACGTTACACCGATTAGAATGGGGCATACTATTAAACCGTATGGTATTCAAAAGCCTAGATTACAAAAACACCTTTTTCGACAAAGCAAAGCTTCATGGTCCAATTTCCAGGCCGCAGTGATCCCTTTTTTGGGCGGAGATTCATAAAATGTATTAATGATATATATATTTTTTGACATGCTTGATAACGTCGATGCGTTCTTCTAACATTACATCGATTGGCTTTATTGAAATGTATTTAAACCATAAGGCTCAACTGAAATTGCAGGCACTTGAATATTCATGCCAGCGAGAAGTCTTCTACAGTTTTAATTTTGACAAAGTTTATGGCGAACCCTCGGCTACGGTTTATGTCGATCTTCAAATGCGCTATCGACATCTCCTCTACGACGGAAATTGTTCCAAATCGACTGAACCACTTCCACCGTCACTGTTAGCACATCTTACTTAGTAAAAGGGGATATCTGAGAAATTTTTTGCACTCGTGAATTTCAAGAGCTTGTTATTGTAACCAGAACAATGGAGAGATACGAATGAAGTATAGTCAATGTAAAAGTCTCGAAAAGGCCCGGGCAGTTTTTCACAAACCCAAATATATTTCCAAATCGACACGGATTACCAACAGTCTGTTTTACAATCAGTTGGCCTTGCAGCGGGACATAGCACTCCAAGGTGACCAGCAATGGGTACACATAGGCTCGGTAGCTATCGAATGCTTCCTTTTTACTGGCGCGCGAGGAATTTTGGAACACCACTGTAAGGTAAAACTACACTAAAATACGATAATTATTGGCTCTCCTCATGAGCGTCTATCGCCACTGTATGTGTTTAAAAATGAGTGATAATTCTTCTGGATTTGATAGGATAAATATAATTCAACAGAACTGGCGGCCAGTTTCAACCGGAGTATAGGCAGTTGCTTCTCAATAAACAACTGAGCACGAAGCTCTTGTAGTAAGTCTTATAAAAAAATTATAAGTTCTAATTTAAAATGAGTGATTTGATTTCTATGCACCTCAGCAGAAATAATACATATATAGATTCCTCTACGATTTGAAGGCGTTACTCGTGCTTTCGCCGTATACTGAATTTTCCGGAAATACTATCAAAAATAGGCAGGGTGGCAAAGTGATTCCAGAAGCTGTTTCCTAACGAAACTAACCCCTATCCTATGTGATGTGCCTTGTACTTACCACCAATGATAGTACTATGTGTTTTAACAAGACTAGCATTGTGTTGGTGATGGATCGCTACGGTTCCTCTGAAGATTAAGCTGTGCCAACTGTTGTTTTGAAGCTTTATAAGCTCAAGGAATAAATAACAATACGGCAGAAGAATCCTTCTAAAAAGGTGCAATTATTTTGTAGAAGGTGTTTCAGAATAGGCAAAAAAAAATGCTCAGGAGTTTAAAAAAATCACGATTTTTGCTTTTCAAAACTCGATTGTATTTTAATTCGAGCCTGGTAAGGCTCAAGCTCTGTATTATTAGAAAAATCTGCAATCCCGAATAGACATACACGAATGACTCGGACTCTGGAAACTGCTAGCAGTTTACCTACTCTTAGCCAGTAGGTTTATAGCGGACAGTATGCACTTTTCGAACTCAGCGTATTTCTCCTCTCCCAGCGCTGCCTTCATCTCGATCTCAACCTTCTTTGCCTGAAAATGTTTAAAATATAAAGTAGAAAAAAGAAAGGAAAACAGCGGAACGAAGCAAGCAGAACGCAACACAACAGAAAAAAAAAGTCTATAGTTCCATTTTCATCGTCACTGTACCATTATTCTATTCCCAACTAATTTTTTCTATTTCTTTAATCACGTTCTGTATAGATATCAACAATTAAGCTTATTGAACTGTTTCAGCTCATCTTCCGACCCGTTGCGTCCGACGACGTTACGGGGCATCTGCTATTGGTCAAACCATTCTGAATCGTTAGACCCTCAACGACCACTAGAGCCTCAGCATTTTCATATTAGCTCTCCGTATTTTGAGTTTTACGTCCGGTATCGCCATTAGACGTCTGTTCGGACGACTGGCGTGACCTATAAGTAAGCGATATGCCTGTGGCCAATGTGAATGCATTTTGTTTCCTACCGCTCGTTAGATAAAGGCAATCCACTCTAGGGACTACCACAGTGTCCTTTTCAGCCTGATGACCGATAATACTAGGTAAGAAAAAATTAATCAATCTATTAATAATATTTCTAAAGCCTTATCCGCACAATGATAAACTAAGCAACTGTGATTTTCCGTGCAAGCGTCATTACTGAAGATATTCTAGATTGCCAAGTTGACATAACGACCGTATTAGCAAGATGCTACATGCGTTAACTTTACCTTTTTCTCTATCAATTCTCTTTGTTTTTCAGGTGTTGCTTCCTTTAACTCAGCTAGCTCTGCTTCGCTGGCCCTATTTTGATTTTCGATATCTTTTATCGCTTTCCTTTCCTCATTAGATAATTTAACCTGAAAATATTATAGTTTTAGAAATGATGTCAGCAGTTTGTTCCTATACCTTGGTCAAATGTTCGAAAGAACGATCTTCGCCTGAAACTCCTCTCTTGATCTGTAAAATCCGCCTGAGAAATTATCAATTAATGAAGTCATGATGTTAACAGCTTAGCGGTATTCAAAAATAGAATTTATTTATTGTAAGCATGAAGTTACGCTGGAAACATACGGTGCGTCCGATACCCTATGCTACGTTTCCCCATTTCGAAGGGTGAAGGATTCTAATCAGTGCCATGAAGACAGCCGAGTAAAATTAGAACGGAAAATTCTATAATTTGTAACTAAAGACCGCTTCGGGAAGATAAAATTTACGGTCTACTACCTTAGATTTTAAAAGATGAGGTTATGAAGCAGTAATGATTTTGCGGACAGCATTGCGTGCCAGCTCCCAAATGATTTGAATTTCAGAAGAGCAGATGATTTACTCGGCATTGAGAAGGCAGGCGTTGAGTGGCCTTTGACGTTTATTGCGTGAATGTTTCGTCTTTTAACTTGACAACTTTTACTTTCTCTTAAATAATGCATAATCTATTATACCAAAAAAGAACTATGCCAGCTTAACAGCCATATTGCTGTTCATCCCGTAACCTGTCATTTGTCGTCTGATTTCTATGCAGTCTGAGTTGATCATCTACGACTGGCGTGTCGAAATCTGAGAAAAAGACTTGAGCCTACCGCCGACGCTACTCCACGCAATACCAGTTTCAGACACGTTTCTCAATCGGTCGGATCCCTATTTACGCACCTCTACGGCGCATTTCTGGGCCTGCTCCTCCAGCTTTTTCATTTGGTCATCTTCCGCAGAGACGATAGTTGCTGTAAGAGACACAGTGATCACTGCAACAAAGCATAGAAGATTCACTGAACACTTCACGTTCATATTTAAGCGACCGCTTTTACGAGTTACTGAAATTAGCACGGATTTCCCGATGGATAAAGTTTGAACTAATCTATGAGTTCACAGTCTTCTGCTCAGGTTCTAATCGAGCAACTAAATGACATTTCTTAGTTGACAGTTTCGAAATTGCGCGTGGCAAAGACAGAAACTGATTTTGCTATTTGTTATTCAAACCAAATAGGTCTAGTCACGAAAGTTGAGGACCATGTGTTTTTACGCCTTTTTATACATGGCTTGGTTTCCCTTTCCGCGGTTCCTCCCTGCAGATCATTTAACGTTGTCACTGACTCCATCGTCGGACAAGTTGGCTAACCGCGATATATTGAATGTTTACAGATTAGCTCGTCATGCCGTCAATAGGTGGTTACGCGTTTCGACAAAACATACAACTCTGATGTCAGTGGACCATATAACAGCACCGCCAATCAGAAAGCAACTTTAGGCGAAAAGCTAACATGATAAACCCGCCGTCAATGTGAGATGAAGCTATATTACTAACATAGAGGTGTACAAGCAGGTCGCGACAAGTCAAGCCAATCACATCGTACTCGTCGGTCAATCAATTGAATTAAAAAACTTCAGTCGCCAGTGGCTGTTTGGCGAAATAAAGGACTCCTAGCAGATCGACAGGGTTGTCAATAGATTGGTATAACCTTGAGAGTGAACAATTGATAGGAATTGGGGCTGGGGCGGGCCATATTGACATACTGGAGGGGAAGTGTCGCATGGAAACGCAGACGACAATGAGTTCAGGTATCGAAAGCGTTAAGAGTGTATAAACAGAGGTGGGTAATACTATATTGAAAGCGACGAATTTTAGGCGGAAGCCTGGTATAAACAGTCTAAACAGGGTCTATTTGAAGAAAGAGATCGGTAAATGACCCACAAAGCCAGGCGTGGCTATTACGTTCGGGTGTGCAACAGGGCGACGTCAACGCTTGCGGTATTTCTTCAGCATTTGCCGTTTCGAGTTTTTTTAAAGGACGCCGCGCCCAGTGTGTTCTTTGAACGGAAGCGTCTCTCGTGTCGCATCTGTCGTGTCAGTCTACCCCTACTCGTGATTAGAAAACCATATTTAGGTCGAACGATTTGGAACCTGAGAAAGAGCTCAAGTGAGTAAACGACAGGTAGATTAGGGGTTCAGAGGCAATGCGAAGCACCAACCGCGAAATCTCCTTTTGGAGAATAAAAGTGAAGGCTCCCCGCAATTTGCCCTACTGGCGATATCTGCAACTGCAGATATCGCCAGTAATGGCAAAAATCGTCTCATTTGAAAGACACAATCGATGTTTTTTTATACGAATACTAGATACATAATTGTAAATCAGAAGTGCATAAAACTAATCCGGCTCTGGACATCGGCAGTTTACCTATTTCATTTCATGAATCTATTGGTATATTTTACCTTGATACTTTATGTGCCTTTAATTGTATGACGATGTAAATTATCCGCCCACAAAGTTTAACTTAAACGCCAAATTCTCTGTTTGACAGGAATACTTCTGAACAGAGCGTTTCCTTTCATAAATTTCATTCATTCATTCTACTAAACAGGTCAGGTAAACACGTCAATATCCAGAGGCAACCAGGCCTTGCATGATTACCTTGCCCTGAAAAGATACTTTGTCCAATTGCTGCCGATAACCGAGTTCTATCACTCTCCGGGGCATTAAGCGACCTATTCAATTCAAAGTGACATTAAAAGTAAATAAAGTACTTGAATAAAACGCCCATTACTTGACGATTGTACGACTGACCATTGTAGGCACGAACAGCGATGACAGACTGCGAAGAACTCTGAGGTGGTCTCCCCGTAATGCTATTTTACAGTCAGTAGAACAGGTTCCACCGGCAGAAATTAATAATTAGCCTACTCTGTGGAAAATTCTAGCAACGAAATAGTAAAAATGTGGAATAAACGCTCATAACGTAAATTAGAGGAGAAAGCCAATTGCTAAAATGAGTTATTATAGAACAATAAACACTTAAAGATCTATATATATTTAGTAAAATATTTGAATACTTGAACATTTGAACCATAGATATCTAGCCCTTTAGCAAACCTTATAATATTTTAGGTGTGTTTCAAAAAGCTTACAACACAAAACAGTATTTAACTAGATGATTCCCACGAAACAAACACATGAAATGTTTGCTCGTCGCCTTTTTTATGAGCCTGTTGCTTTCGTTAACGATTAGTGCTCACATCAAATACAAACGTCCTCAATTTTTTTAAGAAAATATGTTTTACGCTATAGGGAATTTCAATCGAACGGGTAGATAAAAATGTTCATCTTGTCTCAGTTAATAATGAAAAATTTATGTCCAATCAGAATCGTCAATGAAAACACAACTCAATTAAACACGTGTATAGAGATACATTCACAGGACACTGATATCACAAGCGATGATAACGTCCATCATTTTTTTCCTATCACAATTTCATATCAGTTACCATAAACTTACTATTAATAAAATATCACTTTGTCAATCAAGCTTTAGAATATTAATTATCATTCACTCGATCTAACCCACTCTCTTAAATCATACTTCGCGCCTACAAAAAAGGCGTCTACATTTTAGAACAAAAGTTATTTAAAGCAGTTATCGATGTCTAATTTTGTGTCTCGCACAACTCGTTAATAGCCAGGAGTGGAACGCACTTCGACAAGTTGAGAGGAGCAGCACTTCAAGAATTGTTGGCATGCTCTGCATTTCACCCCGGAACTAATGTCCCTCACAAATAACGTATAGACCTGCTCATCCCTCAATCCCCATGGTGCCTATTTGTATATATTTGGGTAGGGCCGCATGGTTGGCTATCACAATGTCGTATGTTACCGCTGCTGCCGCCGCCCCTGAAAGCACGAAAAAACAAATCCAACTTAAATTTAATGGGGTTTTGTCTTTGCTAAACTTTCAGAGCCATCCATTTTGTGGATGGACTACGCGCAAATATATGACACGATGGTTACACCTCAGAGCACTGTCGATATTCTTAGATACCCAGAGAACGTCGAGTCTGAAGACGGCGGCTCTAGACGATAAATAAGCGACGGGTTCAGTCCCAGCGACATAAACGGAAACGCGTCTAGAGCGACGCAGCTGTTAAGGCGTATTAATGTTAGGGCAACGGGAGTATTTCGAGAAGAAAGCATATTGCGCTGTGGAGTGCTCGTACGCGCCCTCCATTCTAGGCGATTTCGTGGCCTTCTACTTGTCCACGGACGACAAAAGTTTGGATTTCTAAAAAATTCGATTCGAGCATAGAGCCGAAGCATGCCAAAAGAGCAGCGCATTTTCCGAACGACGTCCCTTTCAGCTTTCCTGGATTGTCTGTGTAGATCAGAATGCCACATCCATCCTCTGTAGGGGCCTCACTTACTCCCAGGGCATCAAAAATGAGGGCATTGGCAAGCTTAGGGTTATGAAAACCTACTCGTAAAGAAACAAAATAAGAGCTGTCTTGTTTGTGAATATATAGTTATTAGCCAATATCCACTCAAAAGTTAGTAACTTAATTACGATTTGCAAAAAGCAGGCCATTGTAGTTCAATAGTAAATCGCTTGCAGGGTTCGTTACTACCTACAATAAAGTTAATGATGGCTTTTTGATATGCTCTGTGTTCACGTAGTTGAAGGACTTTAAATAAGTAAGTGAGTTGGTCCGCAAACGTTCCTAGGTACAACGATATACTTGCGTTATCCCTTTAGCTGTCCTATTTAATAAAAGAATGACAAAGGCAAGCCAGAATAAATGATGCAACCCAGTAAGAATGTTCTAATCCGGTCAACTCGATTGTTTCCAAGGTGTCTGTACTGCAATTGCCCAGATTATTGGCAGAAGTTCTACTATTATTTGCATTGTCTAACCGTTGTTCGTTTTAAACGTACCGGTTTATATTTTTCCCGAAACCATGCTAAAGTTTCGACACCACTCAGTGGGAAATATTTATATATTATGAATCATGCCGGTTATTGATATTTTTCAAACAGTCGCATGAATTCTACAGTTACTCAAGTCGAGTTTGTGTGTATTTAAATAAGTACTCTTATATACCCTTATCACTCGTTAGCAAGACAAACACTTCATAGTCCCTAAATGAGCTGAGATTTTATCTGAAATCCTGTTGTTAAAAGGAATCCTTAAAAGTCGTGAATCAAAATACTTTTGGAGTAACCCTGGTTTTGTCTTGATATATATTTGCACTATTTCAATATAATATTGTTGTTCAAGTTACTTGTATACAACAAATTTAAGAAGTGCTTAAGGGATCCTTCTGACACTGAACAACGAAGCAGATGAAAATCCGTTACTCTTTCTGTTTATAACAGTAAATCGGCACTTTACAGTCCCGTATGAGACTACTGTTGGGCCTACGTTTGTACGTATTTTTCTAGTTCTTATTGTTGGCTAACTAAAATGTCACCATTTGAAAGAGGCCATGCGCTGACGCCGACTGAGTGTAGCACAAGAAAACAAAACAGGGAAGAAAACGCCTACACGGGAATATAGAATTCGTCAACGTAAGTATCCTTTTTAGATTTCGCTTTGAATATAGCCTAGCATTATTGAGTTTTCACAGGAAGAGTGAAGCTTTAGTTTTCGAAATTATTCTGCGCTGTTCTACCAATAAATATATACATGTGTGATCGACACTCATGTTTGTTTGTATCTAGCAGCGGTATTCGACCGTCTTCGCTCAGCTGGAATAGAAATCTTCTCATCGCCTCTCCAGTCCATCGATTCAGCGCCGTCCCTGCTTGGTTTCAGCGTCGTTTTTAGTGTAATTTGTGGTCATTGCAGATTATGACATAGTTACTTTGGCGACCAAAACAAGCTGAATAGCATACATAACGTGCACTAGTTACAACAGTCAACAAAAGTCAGGAGCATATATATATATATATATATATATATATACGTACATAGGGTGTCTCAGAAATAGATACGCAGCTTTGCTCGCGCACGCCAAATGTCAGCGTTGTCTAAACAGAAAGAACGACTGCAGAGTGAATTGTTAGACATTTGTGTATTGTTCGATAAAGTAATATTATGCCCTTTTCGTCTGCGCGTCTCGTAGACGTTGAGCCGGGCAGGAAGTGTGATGTCGTGCTTTTACTAGTCGCATCGCGATAAATGTCTTCTTGTGCGAGCTTTTGTTGTGTACGA